TTTCTTCCCTCAAAATCCTCAGTTTTCCAAAACACATATTCCTGGCATTGGAAATAATGTTGTAGACATAACGTCTATGCAACCCAGAATCACTGTAGTTTACTTTTCTTTAGGAAGAAAACTTCAAATACTCACAAAAGGTTCCCTGGACATGCTAATACCCCAACAGCTTCAAATTTTATAAGAGTTTATAACTTGGGGTATGCCTGTAAGGCAACCCTCATCAGCAAGGTCTTGCCACACTCGCCATGGCTCGCTTGCTTCCCCAGGGTCCAAGGAGATAAAGTCCATTCCTAGGCACTTTAATGAAAGGTCAGGCACATTCCTCAGCTCAAACGTGACTTTTTAAAAGCCCACAAACAGATTACATTCAAAGGCTGAGGAATCAAGACACCAGTAATGCATACTTCTCCCCCATATTTTTATCAAGAATTTTCTTAATTCAACAGACTTCAATCTACAAATATCTACCTACTGAACCAGATTCAAAGCAGCAACATTTGTGATCATTTCCACGGTAACGGAAGTGTGGTTTTCTGGCCAACAGGGGTGTGAGAGATACGTGTAGACACATATCCACCTCATCCTGTAGAGCGTGCTGAAGATGAACTGTGGGGCGCAGAAATACTAAAATGCTCTTTTCCACTCATTTTTTCTCGTCCTTAAAAAATGATTTTTGGTGTAGGTTTTGTAATTTACCCAAGCACATGCATACGACTGAAAAATAAACATCCATGAACTGGGTGTGCATACCTGAAAAGCTCAGACTCTGAAACCCAGAAAAAAAAAATTTACCAGTTGCTGTACAACCCCCACAAAGCTGAAAGGCTGGCAGTTCAAACCCATCCAGCGGATCCTCAGAAGACAGATTCAGTGATCTGCTTCCAAGAGGTCACAGCCTTGGAAACCCTACGGAGCAGTCCTACTCTGCACACGAGGTCGCCCTGAGCTGGAATAGACCTGACGGTAACAGACGACAATGTTAAGATCGAAGACAGGAATTCACTCCACAACCAACTGTAGGTGGCAAACTGCGCTGCTCAACATGGTGGGGAGGTGTTCTCGGGGGGTGACAGTGCTAACCCCAGAAGCTCAAAATTCGGGTCAAATCAGGTCAGAATCCTAGAACTTATCTTTTCAGACTTTCTTTTCTTTACCTGATACAGGATCTGCATAGAAACTGCATCAGCACCTGCACCCCATTTTCCATCTGAGGAACAGGAAAATCCCACTCCCTGGCCTGCCTGAGAACAAGATTCCCGTCCTGGGCTGGCACGGGCTACAATGTTTCCCTTGGCTCAAAATGGCAACTGTGTCACCCTGGCTGGCTCCCCACCTGGCGGCCACCACTAGCGACAAGGCCTTTCCTGGGGAGAGGGACAGCTCAGACTCCCTAGGCTCCCCAGTAACTGCAGAACAACGACGCCCAGCTCTTAAGACACTGAACACAAAGCAGGGCACCGAAGGACTACCATCCTAGGTGCCAAGAAAGCAAACATTTAAGGGCAACTCCTGAGCAGCCAGGGCAGCCGGCTGCTCAAGCCACTTGCAGCAGCCTGCCTAGCCTCAGCACGCCCTAGCCTCTGACCGCAAAATGCAGAGTGAAGACCCCAAGGGCCGTGAGGAGCCTGTGGGGAGTGGCGTGGCAGTCTGGGCCAGCCAGGCTCCCCCGGCTCCAGGCTGGCGGGCCGCAGCGCTGTCCTGCCCTTCTCCCGGGACCTGGGGGGTGCAGCCCCGAAGTGCAGGCGGCCCCGGATTCCTGGCCCGCTGCCACCAGACCGCGGCTGACTCCAGGGCTTTCGGACTGACCACTGAAGCACAAACCTACCGAGAAACCCAGCCTTTTCTTTCCTGAATGAGCCAAATCCGAAATAAGAGACTTGGAGCAAGCAAATCTTCTCATCACCTCGCTGGAAAACCCAACTCCCGACTTCATAAATTTCAAAACTATTGTTATGTTTTAAACCAAGTGCTCAGCCACCATCTCAAGGGCTAATGGCGGGGAGCCATTTCCAGAGGGAACACAGTGTCTGCCAGCCCCACCGCACCCCTGGCTGGCCAGCTGCTGGAGACACCTTCTCTAAAATGACAGAGGAAAAGCCGGGAACCCGGGCCTCCTTCCCAAGGTCAGGTGGCATCGGTCCCCATAAAGCAAGGGCGCCCTGAATTATTTAATCGGGAGGCAACTCCGTGAAGCAGCATGTTCTTTAAATCGAGGTAGATCCTACTTAGAGTAAAACGCATCCATGTTCTGCGACCAGAATGCCAATCAAACAGAGGGCATACCACACCCTCCGAAGTGCCCTTCCCAGTCAGAGGCATGGCTCTTTAAAAGGACAATATTCTGAAACTGTAACGCTCACTTCCTCCGAAGAAGAGGCAGTGAGCGTTTAGGCCATGAGTGGGAACTCCGTATGAACCTCACTACCTAGGGCCTTCTCGCCTGACACTTCAGCCCTCTGTTCACAACGCTGGAGTCTGTTACTTTAAATCCAGATGTTCCGGCGCGGTGAATCCAGGAATGAAGAAAAGAGGTCTAAAAATGCATTTCCAAGAGGTCTTTTTTAAATGAGAAACTATGGGGAAGAGAATTTTGCTCGAAACTGGGCAAATGTGATGTTCTTAAAGGATATTTACTTTAGTAATGTACTACCTCAACACTGTAGCCAACAACTTCAACTTAGCATTGCACGCGTGTTAAAAACAGGGACTTTTCAGGGCATCCGGGTACCTCCCAGCGTGGGTACCCCTCACTTCATGCTCTCCTGCACAATTTGCACGGCTCGATAATATAAAAAGCGAATAAACCTTTTACAAGTCTGGCAGCACTGAGCAACTACTGGGTTTTAGCCAAATATGAAAACATAAGTGGATCTTTAACTGTAAATACAGATAAAAACTGAGTGCTGAGGAAAATTTCCTCAACGCGCTTCCCAGGAGAGAAATTCTCGCGGGTTCTGGGCGCCCTCTTACCCTCCTCCGCCCCCACTGGAACCTAATCTGCAAGTAAATTGGCTCCATTTTTTCGTTCCTAGGATTTGGGTCAGTATTCAGCTCATTCGTTTTTTCTGAGATGAAAGAAAACGCTAAAAACACTCACCCATAGATACGAAAATGAGTAAAATCAGCCCATTCAAAGCTTTAAAACGAAGGAAGGGAATAACTGCCCCCAGCTTCATACCTAGGAGTTTAAAAAGGAGGCGCCCCCCAAAAATAAATAAAAAAGAGGCGCCCACCAGGTCAGAATTTCAACTTTTTCCCAGTAGGAGAAGCCGGCTTAAGGCCATCAGGCAATAGCTCCACCCTCCACGCCAAGTAACAGGTTACGCGTGGAAAAGGCTGCAGCGCTGTACAGCACGTCCACTCACACAGCCAGCAGCTCCCAGGAGGGTTTTTAAAGCCGCTACCGTCCTCCTCCAAGGCAAGACTACAGCGATTACACACACAGGTCTACAGGCAGAAGTTGGCGAAGTTACTGACACCCCTCTCAAAATGCTTCGCCCGCTTACTCCCCAGAATTCGAGTGCGCGGAAGATGCTGTCCCATACCAACTCCCAAGTGGAGAGAAAGAAGTCACGTGCTGTGTGGAAAACGGGCAAGAAAGGTTCATTCGACAGCCGAAAGAGCTAAATCAAGCCCAAAATTCGCTGCGGTGCAGCCCTCAAACCCTGCTCACCACCGAGTTCGAGCCGCGTGCAGTGATCTAGCTTTTCCCAAGGAGGTCAAGCCTCTGGGTGAGCCGGGTGGAGACATCTCTCAACCAGGGAAACCGGTTCCCGCAGGGATCGAAGCCGGGATAGGCGGGCGCGCCCGAGGGGCTCCCAGGCGGGAGAGGGCAATGGGGCTCCCAGGCGGGAGAGGGCAATGGGCAAGGTCCCGGAGGCCGTTTCCATCTTGGGGCTGAGCCGTGGGACAGCGAGGCCGACCAGCGATCCCACCTAAGGGAGCTCAGGGGCCAGAAGACGCTTTTTACACACAGTACGGGAAACTGAGACTACACGCAGCAGAGAAGAGCTAAGACCCGATGGGGGCCCCATGGCCGGGGTTAAAGAGCCAGTTAAAGATGCACATGTGAACTCAATCTCTGTTAAGGATGATGAAAACATTTGGAAACCGACAGTAGTGACGGCTGCAAAACTTGGTGAACATATAGTTGTACATGGGAAAATAACTGAAACGGTAAATGTTTTGTTACTACCCGATTAGCAAAAAAAAATCCAAATAAACTCTCTCTTCCAACACAAGAAAGCAGACTCCCATGCCGTCCAAAACAAAAAAATACAGCCCCTTCGCCATTCAGAAACCTCTCCGAGGAGCCCCCACACGAGTGCGCACGTGGAAACCAGGTCTCCACCAGCACACGCACCACACACATGCACAATCATCCCTCCCCCTTCCCAGCTCATGCCTTACCCAAAACCAAACAAACGAGAAAATTTTCTGGCGGGTACACACACGGAGGCCACGTCTACACAGACGCACAACTTCCACCTCGTGTCCTAGTTAACACAACACCACACACTTTGTCAAACAGAAACGACCAAGTCTGAAAAGACTCCCACGGTTCAGGAAGCGTGGGGGGGGGCGGGTCCCCACACGCAGGGAGGTCAGGTCTACACACACACACCCTCATCTCTTCCCAGCTCATGCCTGACTGGAGACAACTGCTGCCACATTTTGCCAGATGGAAACAAGTTAAAACCGAAAAGGGGCCCCCACGCTATGGAACCCGTCGGGGCCCTCTAGTGCGAATGGACAGAGCGACCCGGACTAAACACACACACACGCTTATTTCCCCAGTCGTGACTCATAATCTACTTGGAAACGATTGCCATATTTAACCAAAGAGAAATAAAACCTGGGAGAAGGGGATCCCCTTCCCTCGCTTTCGGACCCGCTGGGAGGCCCACCTGAAACAAGCACGCGGATGCCAAGGGTACACACACACACTCCCCCACCCCGCCGGGGCGCAGATCCCCGAAGGCGCCCCACGCACTCACCTCGTCGTCGTGGTGCTGGCAGAAGCCGAGGCGCTCGGGAAACACCGAGAGGATGGAGAAGGGCGAGCTGGGGAAAGGCGGCCCGAGCCCGAGCTGCTGCGCGGCGGCCGCGGCGGCGGGACCCGGCGGGCCACGCTCAATGTAGTGGTCCTTGGTGAGGCGCACGCGCTGATGCGCGCGGACGCAGTTGTCGCACAGGTGCTCCTGGCAGTCGAGGCAGCGCGACGAGGCTGCGTTGCCCTCATCGCACGAGCTACAGCCGTGAGGCCGGCGCAGCAACAGCGCCGACGGAGAAGCAGCTGAGCCGCCCGGCGCGCCGCGGGAAGGCGCGGGTGCCGGCGGCGCCTGCGGGAGTGGCGGCGACGATGCGGGCGCGCGCGGATGCGCGTGGTGCGGGTGGTGCCGGTGGTTGCTGTGGCCGCCCGCGCCCGCCGGTGCGCCGGCGCGCCCGTTGTTCTTGGGCGGCGGCTCGTCGGCCGTGGCCACTACGGCGTCAAGCAGGTTACTGAGTAGGAAGGCGGACGAGGGCAGCGCGTCCATGCCTGCAGCCTCGGCCAGCACGACTTTCTGGTCGCAAACAGGGCAGCGCAGCTTGAGTGGCTCTCCCGGCGCGCCGCCGCCCGCCGCCGGCAGCCGGTGCGCCTCGAGGCACGGGCGGCAGAAGGCGTGCAAACAGGGCAGGACGTGCAGGCGGCGCGCCGCTGCCCCGGGGCCCCCGCCGCCGCCGCAGTTCCCCGACGACGTGGATGTCTGCGAGGACGACGAAGACGCGGAGGAGCTGGAGGAGAGCGGCGCTGGCGAGCCGCACATCTCCTTGCACAGCAGGCAGATCTGGAAGTCGGTCTCGGGGAACGAAGCCATTTGCAACCCGGCCCGGAGGAGGGAGGAGACCAGAGAGGAAGAGGAGGAGGAGGAGGCGAGAGCGGACGAGGTGGGTGGGGGAGCCGCCGACTCACTCAGAAAAATGCATCGATTAGGCCTGCAATCCGCGGCCGACACCAGAGCGGCCCGGCCCGCGCGTGGCCACCCCCGACGCTGCGGGCATTAAATGCCACTATCCAGAGGCGACGCAGATTCCTCCCGGAGGACTTGGGGCCCCGCGTGCTTTCCGAAGTGATAGCGCCAGAACAAGTCCCGACACGCGGGGGGCGAGCGGGGGCGGGGAGGTCAGAGGACTCCCTGGAGCAGCTGGACTTCGCTTCGCGCTCGCTGAGGGGAGTCCCCAAAACGAGAGTCTGCTGTGCAATCCCCGTCCCGGCGGGAGCAACAGAATTTGGTTCGACGAGTTATTTGGTGTGTTTTTTTTTTTTTTCGCTTTTTGTTTCCTTTAAACGGAATTAGTCTCTTCTTGAGAGGGGAAGGCGCCCCAAACTAGCAAAGGCGGGAGCGGCGCGTCGCCAATCTGGTGTCCCCCCGCGCGGCGCCTGCCGCCCCGCCGCATGACGCGGCGGCTAGGGGCTCTTGGGTGGCCCGGCGTACTGCGCTTGGGGCTTGCGCACCG